AATCGGAATAAGTATTTGATTTTTTGAGGTTGAAAGTAAATACTTAACAGTCGTTAATTACTTGTGACCGGAAATGGTAATTGATTACTGGAGAAGAAAGTAATCAATCAACACTTCGGTCACAGGTAATTAATAATACCAGGTATTACAAATGGTGAAGTCAAGTCATTTTTTATAGTCTGATGATGATGATAATGATGTCCTTTTACACTGGATAGAGAATGATATCAAAATATGAATTGAACAGTTTTTCGAAATACTCTAGTGCGGTAAGAAGGAGGTATTTTTTGTTAGCTAACATTCAATTTGCTGGAAATAGTCAGTAGCATTTTAGATGTGAAATAGTATTGCTAACGAATACAAAATGCCCATATTCAGAATAATGACGTCATCGTTAACAAACTTATCAGATAATGCATATCTGATCAAGTCTGATATTTCTGGTGCAATGATGATAAAAACTACTGACAGATCTAAAGCCTCTTTCTTACTCTTTTTATACTTTATCACCATTGAACGAAAATAGTAGTAATTATGCAATCAGAAAGCAATATACTATGACGTTTGTAGCAGAGAGGAACGTTGCTTCACTCACTAATCAATAATCGAAAATCGCGCCAACCTGCTTAGATCCTGACATGCAAATCATATATACGTATATAAATATATATACTTAACGTGGATATTCACGCAAAACGAACAAATACTTATCCCCCACAATATTAAGTATCCAAACCCAATTTTACCTTCCACTCACCGCCTGCGCAACCGCTCGTAACGCAACCAAAATGAACAGTGAAAGTTATGGAGGCGTGGCCCTACTTAATGTACAAGCGTTCCCAAAAAAAAGGTTGCCACTCACTAATCAATAATCGAGAATCACGCCGACCTGCCATTCTGACGTGCACCTTCTCATTCATGCGTATTAAAAAAAAAGATATCAAAGATTGGGCTTCAAATGCAAATTTAATTCCTTGGCGTACTGTATTCATTCATTTTTTTTTTCTCGAATCTTTTTTTTCTTTGAATGTGCGAATAAATAACGTAAACATCAATCATGTTTCTATGCGAAATTAATTTGTTCATTGGATATCATTTAAATAGTAAAAAGATATTGATAAAAGAAAAAAATAATTGATTTAAATAAAAGGTATCTCTAACTAATAGTGATAG